TAAAATATCCGTGTTTTTTATCTCCCTTTTCTAGCTTTTAGAGAAATTGCTACGAAACAATACTATACAAGGCTATCTAAGTTCTGAAATAATACTATTTGAGATAGTTGATATGGGAATAATAAGAGGAAGCATTCAAGACAAGAACTAGTTCTCTGAAAAATAATTGTTTGACTGCTGTTTTGCTTGAAATGAGCTTTCTTTTAATACACAAGTAACGTTCGTCTTTGCTACTCGTTTTACCCTTTACTAAACGTTGAACTGTTTCTGTATAATATACTACTTGCCAAGCTTAATTGATACTCATACCAAGTACATGTACGAGAGCAGGCAGAACTATGAGTTTGAGTATGAATGCTGATGTGCATATCCATGTGGTCCTTCTCTTTATATATTGAAGCAATCACGCTAACACCTACACACCCAAATTCATATATCGTAACTCACATCCCACACTCATACGCACGCACATATACCTACGGAAACCAAAAGCTACTCATACACCCAAATAAACCACATAGAGTGCATCTAAATTCACAACACACTCCAACTTCCATATCAGCACACCCAAATTCTACATCTGCACCAATACTTATCCAACATTCATGCCTCCGTAACCATCACATACCAATAGCTGGCATAAGAAAAATTTCTTCTTTTGCTATCGTTGTGTCAGATGCTTTTCGATCTATTTAGTTTTGAAAGCGCCCATTAGTTAAGAGTGTTTTCGAATATACAATAGGATTTTTATCAATATTGATCATTGAATCATCGTTATAAGAAACACTTTTGTGAAGCATATCAAGGAAAAATTGAGTGTAAAATAAAAGCATGCTGGTCGAATCCGTCTTTTTGGTTATCTCATTGCCTTTCGTCGTATTTGGATGTGGTATTACGACACATATCGAAGTTTCACATCGCGCTCAAGATCTTTGGCTACATCAATCTGTTTATCGACAATATATTCTCCAACATCAAGATGCATTGCAAGGAGGATCTCCATATCCTGATGCTATGTACAATAGTTTCTGTTATAACAGTAGTTTACATCAAGTAGCTGAAGATACCCATTGGTAAGGAGAATCGATCACTTCGTTTAACATGATAGTTATCTTATTGTTCACAATTCAGGTATCCATTCATGAAAATCGCCATTGAATATATGCGTGATCGATATCCACCACCGCTACAGCCCGACAATGTCGATGGACAAAAGTTACTTGTATTTCTACTCGGTGTGGCCTCTCATCAAATAGTTGATGCTGTGTGGCATGGAAATTTAACAGGATGTCCGAATGGATTTATCGATGCAACAGCCTGGGAGAGTTTTAATGACAATCAAGAAATGGCACATTCAAGTGATGATACTGGTGGAGATAGTGTTGTTAATTACGAATTGCCGGTCGGTTATATCGGTAAAATATCGAAAAACTAATGCTTTTTCTAAAAATGATCTCTCTACAATTCACAGGGCTCATCAACAAGTGGTTTGTTCCAATCAACGAACTTGAAGAGATCTATGCACGATATGCTGTCGCCAGTAACTCATCAACTGAAGAAAATACTACTGCGACACATGTTCAATCCTGTTCTGATGTTATGTTTCGTGGACTAGTTGCTGATGCTCTTCTTCTTGGCTTTAAATATTCTACATATTCAAGCAGTAATAGTTTTCTACTCGATCAAGTGCACGACTACTACTACGGTGGCTTGTCAAATATGGTTCAGCTGACAGTCCGATACTGGGATCAAATTATTGCAATGTACGAACTTGGAACAGATATTTGTACATTGGCCGATAATAATCCATACTATTTGAATTGTACTATAGCTCACAATATCACACATCAACAACAACAAGAATTGACATCGTACGTTCAATCAACACTTTTAGACTATTTACCCTATTCAGACAATTCTTTATCGCTGTTTTCGTCATCTGACAACACCGAAATTTCTACTGGACTCATTTCAAATCAAAGTTATGCCGCATTTGGTCATGCAACCCTCTATGGTGATTTTAACGGTGATGGAATTACCGATCTTGTCGTGTCAGCACCCGATTATTATGTTCTTGGATGTGTGCAAGGTGGTCGAGTGTTCATTATCTATGGTCAAGAGAATCGTTCCCTTGTACCCGAGCGTCAAATTTCGATTATTGAAGGACTTGCCAATCAAACACTTATTTCACCAAAATGTGATGGTGATCGATTCGGTTCAGCACTAGCTCGCCTTGATTGGAACAACGATGGATTTGATGATCTAGTCGTTAGCAGTCCATCGCATGGATTCGGCTTCCGTGGAGCAGTATTTGTATTTGCCGGTGGTGCACAAGGTCTTCAACCTTATCCTTATATGCATATTTATGGAATGAATGAACATGACGCGATCGGTTTCAAACTATATACGGCAGATCTCGATAATGATACTCGACTTGATTTGATCATTACAAGTCCATACGCTCAGCCGAACGGTTATAATCAACCACAACAAGGAGCTGTCTGGGTCTTCCTGAACTCTGACCATCATATATTGGATGATGAACTCACTGTTACCAATGCATCATTCACCATTTGGGGTGAAACAGCAAAATCGAAATTTGGCTATTCACTTGAAATGATTCCATCGTCGTGTATCGACAATATGACTTATCCAGCTGCCATCATTAGCGCACCAGCCGACGATGGTAAACTGTTCGTGTACTCATTTGAACCCGAACCCCATCTCATTCTTACTCTCTCAGGCAAGCAAAAAAAGGATCGTTTTGGACAAAGTTTTTCTATTGATAAAGACAGATGTTGGCTCGCCGTTGGATCACCGACCCGTTCCACTAATTGGTACGGTGGTGTTGATATTCTTTTAGTATCCGATCTTTTCCATCAATCAAGTATTTCTCTTCAATTAAGTGACATTCCTGTGCGGCTCTCAATTTATGGTGATATGATTTTTGGACGTCTTGGTACAACTATTCAATGGACACCCAACGGTGATTTATGCATATCAGCGCCACTCGGCAAGAAAAATTTTCTGCTATTGCAGATGCAAAAGTCCGTAGGTCGTGTTTACATTGTATCTGCTAATCAAATCTCAACGCAGCCAGATCCAGTGGCGAGATCAATTAAACAAATAAGTTCGACGACCTACGTCGCTAGGAACCAAATGAACCGATTCGGTAGTCGTACTGACATTCTTTCTTCAACACTTTCTTCCTACTATGTCATTGCCTCGCCATTTACAACCGTATCTGACAATGTTCGTCTGCCGGGCATGTTATATTTTCTATCGTTATAAGACTGATTTTTAATTTTAAAAACTTAATCCGCACACAATGTAAAGACTGCCTTTGTCAATAAAACAGACGAAAAGTTTTCTCTTGTAGGTAGCATCAGTAGTCAATGTTGACAGTGTCTCTTCATTAGTGACCAACAAATTATCAACTGTAATAGGTATGATAATGCAAGCACCCATTCATAAATTGGATCTCTCAATAAAAAGCATCTTCTGAATTTGAATACATAGTAGCTTTGTCAGTTTTGTAGAGCATCATTCGCTCTATCGCCTGGTATACGAAAATTTTCGCCTGACATTCATTAGAGCTAATCTGATGATTAGACATTCTCTCACAAAAAATATATCTGAACTAGTTGAGTAAAATATTTGATAGAATCAAGATTCTACTATGCTTCTCTTCGACAAATTCATGGAATTGCTATAGATTCGAATAGTACACAGATATACGTAATTGCTCGTAGAAAATTTTAAGATTGCATGAAGCTTTCATTGAAGAATTTTTCTTAACGTAATTCCAACATACCTATTTTGATCTATTTTTGTCACTTCAAAGTGACCAATGCCGAATTTCAAGACTAAACTCACGCAATTGACACGAATAGTTACAAGTATGTGATTTCATCAACGTCGTTTTCTTATCGTATGAGTCTCCATTAAAATGATTAATAAGGAAGCCATACATCATTTGAAATAGATTATTTCACTATATCAGAAGACATATTAATTGGAATTCCGTGACTAATTCGATTACTAATATCGACTTATTTTATATATGCAAAAATTTATAATATTCAGAGAAAAGATATATATTTAAAGTTTATATCGTATTCATAATAATTGAATACGTTAAATCATATCCGATGTATTGGATGAAAAATTTTCAACAATTCCGAGTCACAAGACTTTTAACACAACTAATCTAAAAATAATTTCATTATGCTTTTTTTTAGAATTCCTGTTTTCTTAAAAAAATACAAAAATTTTATACGAAATGATAAATATTTTGATGAGTTTGAAAACTAGATTCAAAATTTTACTCATGTTTACAAATATTAAACAATATGAATTGTTTGTGAATATTAATCAACTTACTGCTGGAAAAACCTAGAATCTTTCATGACCACATAGGTGTCACAACCCTACTATTCCCCCCCCCCCCCCCCCACTTCCTCCACAGTTTGCCGAGCTTTGATATTATTCATGCATTTAAATGGTTGATTTTAATCTTCGTCATATTATTGCAACCATATCATTGATATTTTAGAAATTTTCTCAATTGAGTTTTGTTTTGATTGAAATCTAAATAAAAGTAATTGTATATCTTCTATGAAAGACAAAAAACAAAATGTTCACTTTCTTTGTATTTGTATTAACAAGATTTTTCTTGAGAATAATCACCTTAACAGAAATATTAACATAGTATCATTCTTTAAAAGAAAAAAAAGTACACACATGTGGACATATTTTATTACGATAAATTTTCAACAATAGTATTGGATCTGTATTCACACCATAAGTTTTCACAAAACCGGTATGTTTTTTTTCTCCTTTCTTATCATTCTTTAACCTGTGCCGTGCATGATTAATAAGGAAGATAACGTCACTTCCTAAAATTTTTGAGAGAAAGAAAAAGAAACTTCGTAATGTCGTATAGCACGAAACACAATGTGTTGTATTTTTTTTCCTCCAGTACATTATTTTTATTCTTTATGGCTAATAATTATGACGATGATGAAAATGCAATATTGAGACAGTATGAAGATTTTAGAACAGTACATAACATTTCGGAAAATTCCTCGACTGCTATAATTTCAAGTAATGGTAAAAATGTCGATTTTTATAAACATATTAATTGCATTACATTATCATCATCTACACCGTTCATTGCCACTAACAATAATGTTGCACAATCATTAAACGATTATAATGAAATACCTTTTGATTATAATGAATGGCAAATACATGATTCACATGTTGTCAAAAAACGTCCACCACGACAAAATGAATTTCTTCAACTTCTTTTAGCAAATCCACGTTATTGTTCATATCTATGCTGGTTAGATAAAAAGCGAGGTTTATTTAGAATTCTTCAACCAGATCAAGTAGTTAAACTATGGGAAAAAGTTAAAGGTCGACAAACGCAAGGAAAAATGAGTTATGAAACATTTGCACGCGGTATTCGACATTATTATAAAACAGGAATGATGATTAAAACAAATAAAAAATACACATTCTGTTTTCAATAATCTACACAATGACACTTCATCATAAAGATAGATATTCTCTTTACTATTGTCCATTTCAAAATATAATATGCTCTACTGTTCTTTGAATAACTCGAGAACGCAAGCTGCTAGAGACCTGCGCTTTTCACCAGTCGAAAGAGGAGACCGGAGGACGTCTTTTTCTCCAATAAAGTGTAAGAGGAGATCCTTTTAAAAGTAATTATTTTCGTAAAACATGTAAAAGAAGGCATGAAAATGACGTTCCATCTAGATTAATTTTTGATTTTGACCTTTGATTTAGATAGAGAAACTGGAAATTTCAAATCTGTAGTTCAGGATATAATGCGCTTTCTTATTTTTTATTAGATTTCCATCGATATGTCAAGCTATTATGATAAAAAGTGAGAAAACTTAGTAAAAAATTAGCAAAAATCTCTATTATGTACGCATGTAAAAACATGATTCAATTTGCTCAACGTTAGAATGTAATAAGAGAACCAAATTGCATTGTATCTTGAACTATAAATTTGAAGTCCCTTTATCTAAATCAAAGGTCAAAATCAAAATTTTATCTAGATAGCACGTCATTGGCAGGCCCTTCTTTTCCATCTTTTTCGAAAATAATTAGTTTTGAAAGAATTCCCTCTTAAACATTATTAGAGAAAAAGACGTCCCACGGTCTCCTCTTTCGATTGATGAAAACCGCAGGTCTCTAGTTGCTTGCGTTCTCGAATTATTCAAAAAATAGTGGAGCACATTATATTTTGAAATGGACAATAGTATTTTTTTAATAAAAACATGAACAAACGAAATCAAAAATTAATAAAAATATATAAATTGCTTTTTAAAGATTAAATGACGAATTCTATCAATATTTCCTTTTTTTTTAGAAACCTACACCGATGTAAGAAACTTTCGAATAAACAATAACGTAAATAAATGTATAGAAATTGCTTTCGATCACAATAAAAATGAAGCTTGCCTTGTCGATAATTGTTATCCATTAATAGGAACATATTTGATATTTTATGTATATCTGGTAAGCTTTAAAGATGATTGCTCAATTCTGTATGAGTCATCCAACTGCAGCTCTAAACAGAAAACCGATGTGCTCGAAAGTTATTTTTTTGTCATATTGACTTGCTTTAAAAGAATTCCAGAAGAATCGATCAAAACAACAAATAGCTAAAAGACATATTTCTCAACAACGAAAACAAACATGATAGCAAATTTAATATATATAATTATGTTGTATCATATATTTCAGATATTGTAAGAAGATTCAATGATGATATTGAGAGAAATTTGTTAGAATAGTTAAATGAGAAATTTGACATACTGATCCAAGAAAATCTTTTCTTTGAAGATTTTATCATATGTATTTCAATCAGAGCTGGTGACTTAGCCTAATTTGCCTAGAAAATTTTGCATCTGACTAACATATCATCTTACTATTCGAAAAATATTTTGACAAATTTATTCCAACTCAGTTATAAATATTTGAACTGAACGTCAATTGAATTTCGTAGGAATCACGTTGACTAACTGAAGAAATTCTTTTAAATTCAAAATCATGGAAAGATATCTGTTATGCTCATACTGCTGAAAATATGTAGTCCTAATCAAATATTAATTGTTCTATCATTCTTTGTGTTTTTTCGGCTTTACAAAACAGAATTCATACAATCAAAAAACAATGTGCCAGTTCAAACATTTATGAAAAAAAAAATAAGAGAACAATTGAAACGTATGTAAAAATAAATGTATTCATAAAATGAAAAATAACAATTGGTCTAGATTGGTTTGCAGATATTACGAATCAAGTTAAGTCAGATCATAAAAAAATTATTTTGGTAGCACCTTTGATTTGAATATTGTATCGCTAAGGTAGATGAAAGAGTTTATGCTTTTTTTTAGCTTTCCATTCATTCAAGTTGAGGTTGATTGTATTATTTACCGTTAAAAGATATATTCAGTGTCATAAGAAAGCCTAATAAATATATCCAATAGTAATTTTGACCTAACGCTTTTATTAAACGTTAGCCTAATCATAATAAAATATTTACCTTTTTCTTGTCATTATCTCTTTTATTTGTTTCTCAATTTGACGAAGCTTTAATTCATAATTACTTTAACATCAAAGTAATGATTATGAATCGATAGAATCTGACTTTTTCTTATCAGTCATTAAGTAAATATAATGGATTTATAAATATTTATTCTAAACATCGTCACAATGCTTAAAGGTGAAAGAATGCTTGAAAATCAACTAAATACTAGAACGATACCGTCCATTATTGATTCGTTGGATGCATTATTTACAGGTATTGATACTGAATCTACATATCCTTCTGCTATGGATGATATGAGAACTAATTTTTATCTATCAAATGATTATCTTGGTACTTCTAATGGACAACATACACTTTTTTATCAAACAATTAGTCCGGATCAAATGAATATAAAAAATTCAATATCGAGTGTTTGTTCGATTGATTATTGTCAAGAACGTTCAAGAAATTCATTAAAGAATACTGATGACATTTATTTTAATTCATTTGAATGGCATATCAAAGATACATTAACAGGAAAACTACGGTCTCCAAAATTAGATGAATTTCTTCATTTATTACTTAATAATTCACGTTATATTTCCTATGCATCTTGGTTAAATAAAGCTACAGGTTTATTTGAAATTCATAATCCAACTAACGTTATTGAACTTTGGAAGAGAGTTAAAAATCGAAAATCAAAATGTAATTTAAATTATGATAAATTTTCACGAAGTATTCGATATTATTACAATAAAGGAACTATGATTGCAACACATAAAAGACATACTTATTGTTTTGCTGTAAATAAATAATAATATATTGTAAAATCAAATCTTTTCTTGTTATACTAATGCATTCACTTACTAGCATTGACATGTACTTTATTTCTGAAATTTTCTTTTTTTTTTTTTAAACAGAAATTTTTTCAAGAAATGTAACTTATCTTCTTATCAAGGAAAACAAAATGATCAATTTATTTTAACAAAATAAGCCAAAGATTATTTTGGTATGTTTTGCTGTTAATCATGATAGATTCTGCATTATTTTTAGAACTGTATTATATTAAGTTTTGTATCAACTTGAAAAAAAAAAAATGACTACCTATTCAGCAAAGCAATATATGGATCAATGGAATATTCAATTACAATAACTTAGATAATATATATGACATTGAAAGAAGAATTTATGAGAATTAGATAGTGTTTTCAAAAAAATCATATATGTAATTAACGATTTAAAAGTATGAAACGAATAAATAACTGATTGTTTATGACATGTTAATAATACAAAGAAAAAAAAACACACGTAGTTATTATGATTATAAAAAAAAAAAACAAATATTCATTGAGTTTATCTTACCTTGATGATTGGATAAGATATGACAAATACGCATAAATCACATGCACAGCTGCATGCTAATGAACAAGGTTGTTTCGAATCATTAGTTACAAACAGGTTTGCTTAAAAGAAAAATAAAAACAAATAATTTTCATTATTCAGAAGAACAAGACATCAAACACAAACAATGCATGACATACAAAAAAAAACAAAACATTTTCATGTCACGTTGAATAAATACAAAATGAATCAGAACTAAGTAATTTCTTTAGTAAATGTTCAATATAATTTCATACATGAATTGAATTGTGATATTTTGCAATGATCTACAAGTTGAATTGAGGTTTTTTTTAATCAATACATTCAATTAAAATGACTACCGTTTAGAGTTGATTACTAAATCATGATGAGTGAATAGAATGTCAGATATTTTTATAAAAACGATAAAAATTTTTTTTTTTTTAAGACTTATTTTAACTTAATACAGATCCACAGAATAAATGTTTTCTATAAAGGTTAGTTATTGAAAATTGCTTATTAATGATAAAAAATTCTTTTTGTTTTTTTCTTGATGCGATTGTTTATTATCAGATAATACCGAGAATAAAGTCTGTTGGTTTGAGATCTAGTACTGATCCAACAAATTCTCTTATAGAATTTATGAGAATAATCAGATGTAAATAATGCAATACAAGAAAATATTCTTTCTGTTTATTTTATTTTTTTTACTTTTCAAAAACTAAAACGTTTTTGTAAATAAAACGAATAAAAATATACAAAATTGAATAAGATTTGCTTTGTTTATCAAATATTATCTTATAAGGAAACATTTTCATTTTAAAACTGTTATCATTCGATCAGTCATAAAGAGTAGTGAAAAATACTGTTTTGGTTGGGTTTTTTCTCGTTTCTATTTTCTGAGTAATAAGCACTTCATTGAATCTTTATCCTATGATCATTGAATAGCGAAGATTTTCGATGATCGAATTTCGAGCTGAAATTTTGTTCAAAAATAGGCATTATAATAACTAGAAGTTCTTCAAAGTTTGAACTAAGACATACCTATCTTGATCAATGTATTAGCCTGTCATGAAAATTTGCTTTTATCAGAAACACAGCGCAAAAGAGATGTGTTTTTTTTGTAAACAACTTTACAAGGATGCATTTGTTCAGGCTTAAACTTTGGAAAGTTTCTCGTTATGATGAGTTCTATTTTTCAACAACGAAATGCATGTGAGTTGTATTTTTAATATATGATATAGAACTTTTGGTCAGAAGAAATTCACGTAGATATATATATATATCAGTAGTATAAGAGTAGGTGATTTAAATAGAACTAAAAATTTAATAGAAGGATGTAAAATATTGATAAAATGTTTAAGTTTTTTTAAAGTGCGTTGTCGAATAATATTTGTTAATAAGTCAATTCATATTTCATCGATTGCATTTTTGTAATTAAACATAGGTTTTTGAATTATTTCAATGATCTAGTGACAGATCATAAACTCTATAATTTATATCAAAAAAATGATTCGTACGCATTTCATTGATGAAAGTATGAATCAAAATTTTATCTCAAAATTCGTCAAAAACAAATTGTTTCACTACTCATTATAAATAATTGAATACCAACAGTTTCAAGTCAAAACTTATTGAAAAATAGAGAATGATCATTCGCTAAGAACCATACCTAACGAACAAGAAGTAAGCACAGTCAATGAATATTCAGTTAGGTAATACAACATTTGTATCTCTATGTCTTATTGATAGCGAACATTCTTTCTTCGTTGAAGGAAAAAACAACTTCCCAATCTGAATGTTTTCTCAAAAGTATTTGAGTATAATATTTACATAGTATAATTCAATCTATTTTTATTAGCTTTTTTTTTTAAGTGAATTTTATTTCTACATCTACATTTGTTTTATTTTTCTTCATCTTTCATAAAAAAAATAAATAATTTGAAAAAAAAAATAAAGAACGTTTCATCATAAAACAAAGAACATCATGATTAAATAAAAACAAATATATATATCTAGATCAATTTATTAATAAGAGACAAATGTTAATTATTAATAATAATTATAAAATATCCAATTATCATTTTCTTCATCATAATCATGTGTTGTTGAATAAGCAGCTAAATTAAGATATTCACTTTGATTATGATCTTTTTTTATAATAGATTTCCATTCAATTCGACAAAATGGACAAGTAACTGATTCATTCATTAATAATTTAGCTCGACGCCATTGTTCAAAACAATTTTTATGCATATTATTTCCACATGATGTTGAACAAAATAAAATACTATTCTTATCATTTATCATAGATTCATAACAAATTGGACATTCATCATCATCTGTTATTGTTTTTTGTTGAATATTTTTTCTATTTAAAATAACATTTGGATCACCTGTTTTAGCATGATAAGCTTCACGAATCTATAGAAGAAACAAAAAAAAACACCAAAAAATCAATAGAAATAAATAAATACCAGTGTTTTATCCAGAGGGATGCCCGGTGGGGGGGAGGGGGGGCGCCTCCCGAAAATCGAGTTCGCCCCC